CTTTGTTCACCAGAGTTTACAACTTAAGTATTATTTACTTACATATTTTACGTGATATAGCTTTTGCTTTAGGATCATTGAAATTCCATTGTTTACTACGATCAATGGTCATTTGTAAAGTAGGTTGATATTGATTATGACATATTTGTTGCTCTTGCACAATACAATTTTCATCAGAAACATTCGAATTAAATATACAACTCTCAAGAGTAGTAGTCTTCTCTATGTCGTCTACTTTACTTTTATTTTGGGACTTATATACTAAAGGATGTTTGTGTTTTATATGATTCCACAATGGCTTTGTACTGAATAATTTTGGCGTTTTTCAACGAACAATTTTACTTGATGACGATTGTTCATAGCACAGTGTACATTCTGCTATCGTTTCATTATCACTGCAAACTTTGAAGTACTTCCATATACGGGATTTGAACTGAGCCATTGCAATTTATATGAGTTGATTAATTTTATGAACAGACTTCTAGTAAGAAAAAAATATGTATATATTGTGAGGTTGTGTGTGCTTGTTTGGAAGGATGACAAATAGGTTAGTATCAACCCATGTATCGATTAAGCGAGTAGCTACTATTGACATAAGATAAGAAATTCCTTTTTTTTTTCTAGCGGAACTGCCGGATAATATCCGGTTATCCGGTAATAATAAGTGCCAAATTATCCGGTATCCGGTTATCCGGTAAATATGTTATCCGGCACATCTCTAGAACAAACAGTAGACACAGCCAAATATATACATGATGCCCCACTTCAAACATCAAAATATCAAAATATAATAATACGCTAAATCCGAAATTTAAATTAAAGTTAAAATTGAAGTTAAAATTGAAATTAAAACTAACCGTCAGAGCGTTTCATGTCGTCAAGTAGGTAAACATAAGAATTGTCAAGTAAATCTGTGTCACTGATTAAATTTAACCCTTGCGTTTGTTTTTTGATATGTATTATTTCAGAGATTATTCTCTTGTAAAAATTCGGTTCAACATCTAAAATCTCAATATTGTCCCAGTCAAACAAATGGTCGTTGTCAATTCTGTGTTTAGAAATAACAAATAGTTGCGAGGCATCGTTTTTAATATTATTGATATGTTTTTTAATTCTTGTTTTTAGTTGTCTCTTGGTTTGCCCCACGTAAGACGCACAACAATTCATACATTTGATTTTATAAATTACATTATTGGTCATAACATGAAGAGTAAGATTTGTTGCATGTCGAGGAAGGTTGGGTGGTAAAGAAGAAGTTCTGAGCACGAACTTGTATTCTTATTTTTATTGCTCCGATTACAACGTTCCTTTTGTTTCTTACACGGCTGTTCCTCACTGTGGTAAACTCTCCGGCTTGCGGAGCCACACAGTGAGCTAGCAGTCTAATCACGGTCTCCCTTCTGCTTCATCCACGCGATCGATTTATAGTAGATTGATCGCGCTGATTCAACAGGCCCACCGGTCCTAGCAACGGCGGTGCTAGTTACCGGTGCTGGTGTCGACACATGCTGCGTTGCACTTCGGACAATGCGGCGATGTGTCGCACCTTGTGGCAACCAGCATTTCTTCCTAGAACTGCTGTCTTCCCGCAACTTACCCAGGTCATTGAGCAATGACAGTGATGTCTCATCACATTGCTCAATGGCCTTACTTTACCTTAACTTTTAACTCAAAAATTAGCGCACAACATTTCCCCACCTTCCGGGAAAAAGGAAAATGTCTGTAACATTTACCGTCGCAACTTTTAAACCTACTTGTGTACAATTTTTGCATGTTATTACACTACCTTTGTATTTTACACACTATACTACGTGGCACATTTACAGCGCGATGGTCTTGGCGTTTTGCGCGCGAGCGCTTCGCCGCTTTTTACACTGTTCCGCTTTACGCGATTTCACGGCGACGCGTGCCAATTCCGTTTTTTCTTTATTTCTTACTACTTTATATATAACCAGTACAATAATTATCACTATTATTGTCACACCTGACGTAGTCAGTTAAATAAGATGCGGATTTTCAAAAAACGAACTCTCGTTTATTTCATCCGTTAATTCCGTTACCTCTGATTTTATTTTCTCAATTTGTGTTTTATTCTGTGTTATGCTTTCTAACACTACTGCTTCCTCACCAACCGTTCGATCTTTTGCTTTTAACACCGAAAGGTTGAATCGTGGCACATACGTGTCAATTTGTTCACCGTCCATCACCTTGTTGGTGCGAATCGTTACAGTGGACGTCACTAACTTACACTTTTCCGACAACTTTTTCTCTCCGACTCCGTTTACAGTTTCCGTTGCTTTCTTTCGATTTTTGCACGATATCACCACCGACTCGCTTTTCGGGGTTGAGTACAGCCATACGCGTGCTTTTTCTAGTCTTATCCACATTGTGTGGTTCGAAATCACAGTTTCCTCTTTACAATTGGAAAATTTTCCTGAATTACTAACATATGCCTGCACCTCGCATGGTGCGTCCGCGTGTACTTTGTACACCTTTTCTATATTATCGCAGACATAATTATCTCAAACGTTTTTACATTTCTCTAACTGACTTACTTTTACAACGGAATATGTTTGTTTATTTTCATCTACTGCAACTATCTCGAACTTTACTTGTGCGACCTTAAAAACATTATCGTGGTCNTGCACCGGCAAGGGCACTACCCTCAACAAGTCGTATTCTATTGGAGCTACTAGTGGAAACTTGACGACGGTATACACATTCGCGTTCTTACAATACACGCTAACTGTGACGTACTCTTTTATTGTCAACCAATTTTCCAGTTCTATGACGAATGGAAAATGTAATCCGTGGGTAGATCAATTATTCGCGTCCTGGAGGCCTTTGATTATTAATTCAACGGATACCATTTCTAACTGCGCAAACTTCGTTTGTACGTCCGTGACGTAACCCATGACACTTTCCACGTCAAACTCGAGTTCTGTAATCATGCTGCCTAAATCCATAAAATATTTGCTAAGTTCGGCTTGCTGCGCGTAACTGTCTACTTTTTGTGTTATTTTAACCATCGCGTTTTTTAACTTGTTTTTGTTTCCCTCTACGACCTCCTCAATGTTTTCTACGTGAGCAATAGTCGCGTTTATCACCTGCAGCTGATTTTTAACCACGTGCTGCAAAACAGCCTGTTTCTTGTTTAACAACTTTATTTGTTCCGAAACTCGCTTCTCGTCTTCGACATCCATTGTACCGAACTGAATTTTCGCGACGGAACCTACTGCGTTAACCAGCCCACTTCGACGACGTTTTTGTGTTCCCACTATAGTTTTAACGCGTTTTACTATTTTTTCCACTTTTTGCAATCTTTTTCGTAAATCCACGGCAAACCCCTCGCACAGTTCTCTATTCCTGCGCGTTATCGACGCATTTTTGCACGCCTTATTTGCATAGTCTAACATACGTTCCGTTTGTTCCGTTCTTGTGTATACCGTTGATACGTCCAATCTTACAGCTAGTCTCCACTTTTCGCTAGCGTGGAGCATCGTCCCGTATTTTTTGTAGTACACGCCGGGATTGTGTTGGAACTGGGTGATACTCTATTGACCACAGTACGATTCGACACCGCTCGATTCGACACAGATTTATTCGACACCAAATTATTCGACACCGTAC